GGCAGGGGCTTTACAAGGTTCATGTCATTTACCCTTTGAGCCAGGTGGTGTCACCAGTTCCATTTTACAGATGGGAGTGGATGCCTTAGGGAAGTTAAGTATCTTTCCCAGAGACACAGCTAATAAGGGCAGAGCCCACAGCTGAAGCCTTGGACAGCTTGAAGCTGTCCACCATGGCTAGGGTTTGGTGGAATCAGACTGCAAGTTAGCATTATTTAACTCTGTTCTACAGAGATTTGGTGGAAATGTTTATTCAGGTAATAAGTAGTTAATAGAAGGAGTTTTACCTTTTTTTTTCATCTTTATTGTTGAAAGTATTACAGATATCCCCCCTTTTTTTCCCCTTGATCCCCTCCACCCCATATCTGTCCCCCACCACCAGGCCTTCACCACACTATTGAATTTTAACTTTTTAAGAGAACAGACAAGCACAAAAACATCTGAAGTTCCCTCTCCGTAATTATTGAGTGTTTTTCATATTTGAAGTTGATATGACGGTATAATCTCATGGCTTCATCCTAGAGTGGAGTATTTGTTCCCAAGTGCCATGGTCTCAGGAGCCCTTGGCTGGGCATTGGGGTGGTTTATAATTTGGACTTTTCCTTGAAGGCTGGAGGAACTGGGGGTGAGGTAGAAAGGACCCCGCCTTTCTGGGGGAGGCAGCTCTGAGTGTGAATTCTGACTCTGCCACTTACCTGTTTGACCTTGGGCAAGTGACTGCATCTCCTGAGCCTCATTTTCCCCCTATTATAAAACAGATTTAAAAATACATACCTTTGATCAAGCATTATAAATAGTACATAAACACACTGCTGATTTCTACTACATTGCTGGGAAATGAATTATACTAATAATGCCACCTATGGACAGAAAATGTATTGTGTTTTTATCAGGATCCAGATGAGGCAGAACATAAAAAGCAGAGATTAACTTTTTTGCCACCTCCAGACCCTTCATGCTAAAATTTATTTACCTTTAATTATTATTTCAGGCCCATCTGCATATACTTAGCATGGGTCATTGGCCACAGACTCACAAACATTTAACTTTATTACCTTTTGCCTCATGTATCTCATTAAAACTTTGCAGCTTAATCAAGGATCAGCATATCGTTAATTTTAGAATTCATGGTTCCGTGATGTTGAAAGTTCCAAACATTCTGGGGGAACATGTTATCTATTATCTCCTGCCTCCGTGCCTTTGAGTCTGCTGCGTTCTTGGCGATTATGGCGACCACTTTCTGCGCTTTCTAACCCCGCTCAGTCTTTAATACCCAGCTCAGGTGGCACCTCTTCCAGGAAGCCCCTTTGACTCCTGTGATATCCTGTACTTGTCCTTGCAAAGCTCTTTTTTTTCTTGAATTGAAATGGTCTGTTTACTTGTTTGTCTCTCTTATTAAACTATAAGCAACTTGAGGGCAGAGAATGCCTGTCGTTCACTGTTGTATCCTTGGTGCCCAGAACTGCCTGTGACTTATTGCTGGACCTTCCTTAAGTGCTGGTTGGATTCAGGCTCCCAGTGAGAGAGAGGGGAAGTAATAAAGCCAAGGATAAATGCCATCCTGGAGATAGCAGCAGGCTGCTGTGAGAGCAATGGGAAGGCAAGCAATGCAATCTCTAACAATGGGGTAGTAATAGCATACGTGTCACCATCCTTTACAGCTCTTTCACATGCATTATGTATTCCGGTCCTTATAAGAGCCTGGAGATAGGTATATTGCAGGGGATAAAAGGTAGAGTTCTTAGCAGTTCTGTGATTCGCCTAAAGTCTTACAGCTGGTCTGCGGCTGGATTCAAACCAGACCTTAAAAGCCCACTCTCTTCCTTGAAGCACACAGATGTCACATCATCACCATCACGTCCATTTGCTCACACCCTGGCTTACTGCTCTGTGGTCTCCAGCACACTTCCCCGTGGTTTTATTGACCAGGCCTCACCTCTCCCGAGGAAATGCTTTTTATTAATGCATTTCTAGATAATGAATTATCTTTGACTCGGAGGAGGTGATAGCCAGGGCACAAAGCTAATCTCATTTTTATCCACATCGGATAATGTGGTTGGTAACAGGTCATATGGGTGTTTTCTGAGACAGCAGCGACTTGCAATGTGTGGTTCCTTTTGTTTTCAGGCCCAAGAAGCACATCCGGGAGGGAAAATGCGTTGCGGACTCCTGTGCCAATTCCTGTGGCTTTGGCCCTATCTGTTCTGTACAGAAGCTGCGCCCATCCAAAAAGTCCAGGATGACACCAAAACCCTCATCAAGACGATTGTCACCAGAATCAATGACATTTCACACACGGTAAGGAGGATCTGGGGAGACAAAATAGAAGTTGGCCAGCCCATGGGGAAACTGGGACCCCAGAGCTTAGCTGAGGCCTCTGCAGTGATGTGTAGGGGCCTTGGTGGCCTTGATTCCTCCTACTGTAGGAACATCTGCCTCTTCTCTTCCTCCTGCCAGTCTCCACCTTCTTCCTCCCTAACTGGAATCCTGGTGCCTAGGACCAGAGGGAGGTATAAAGGTCCTTGGTCCCATTGGCAAGTGACCAGACCCCAGCAGCATCCCCTCTGGGAATTCCATCCATCTATGTCTAGAATGTGCTTATCAGGAGGCAGTCCTCCTAGTTGTAGCTGAGCCCTGCCCTTAGAAGCTCTCCCTGTTATTGCTAGTCCTGCCGGCCAAGGCCACACAAAATAGCAAGTCTCCCTTCTTTCGCATACAACCCTCTGGGTATTTGCAAACAGTTAGCAATGCCCCTTGGGTCTTTGCTCTGGGATCCACAGGCCTAGACCTTCAGCCATTTCCCACTTCTCTTCGCACCTCTGTTCTCTATCTGCAGAATCTTAAGCTAGTTCCTTAATGTCTTTAAGCCTTGGTTTCATCATCTAGATAATAGGACTCATAATATAGTCTTCATAAGGTCATTATGAGATTAAATTAGAGAAAGCAAGTGACCTCCCAACCCCCTTGCAGAACAGAATGAAGTGTGCCCTCGTTAAACGTTTATGGCTGTAGTTTTTGGTAGTCCCCAGCCTTAAAAGCCTGCCTTTGCCCTGCATCGCTTTCCATGTCTCCTGTTCACTGTGGACACCTGACAGTGGCCTTGGGAAGGGAGAAGTTGAGTTGCCAGAAGCAGGGACTAGAGTCCTGGGCATTTTACAGAGAGAAACCCTAAAGTCTCCTTGCTTTCAAAATTATCATTGCCAAGGCTGCATATGATAGGTCCAGAGTATCCCTCTTGTGGGTGCAGGGAGTGCTGTGGGCAGTTGGGAAGGGGAACCCCTTCTAGTAGCTAGAGTTACTGGAGTAGAAGAGAGAGGCTCGGGAAGGGGCATTTATGGAGGATCTCAGTGCCTGGGAAGAGACAACTCGGTAAGAAACAGGGAGTTGTGGCTGGTTCTATAGCAGAGGCCATTTGGAGAAGAGAAGGTTGGTCTGAAAGTAGAGGGAAGGGTGGTTTGGGAAGGGCAAGAGGACAAAAGTCCAGGAGGCCAGCTTGAGGCTTGGCAGCCCCCTGGGCACAAGAAATAAGGGCCTAGGCCAGAATGGTACAGAAGGGGGAAAGGAAGCAACCAAGGGAACAGACCCCCATACTTGATAGAAAGGCCGAGGGCTTTAGAAAATTGATTGTCTCCCGCCTTGCTGAGCTGTTGCTGCCCCTCTTCCTCCTGCACAGCGGTCAGTCTCCTCCAAACAGAGGGTCACCGGTTTGGACTTCATTCCTGGGCTCTACCCTGTCCTGAGTTTGTCCAAGATGGACCAGACATTGGCGATTTACCAACAGATCCTCACCAGCCTGCCTTCTGGAAATGTGCTCCAAATATCTAATGACCTGGAGAACCTCCGGGACCTTCTCCGCCTGCTGGCCTCCTCCAATAGCTGCCCCTTCCCCCGGACCAGGGGTCTGAAGACCTTGGAGGGCCTGGGTGATGTCCTGGAAGCTTCACTCTATTCCACAGAGGTGGTGGTCCTGAGCAGGCTGCAGGGGTCTCTGCAGGACATGCTACAGCAGCTGGACTTCAGCCCTGGGTGCTGAAACCTTGAAGCCTTGGAGAGAGCCTGTGTGGACATCTTTTATCCGGGCCTCCAGTCCCTTTCTCTCTCACTCCTCCAAGCCACCCTTCCAAAGGTCAGTTCTGCCTGGGCTTGGCCACAGCCAGCCGCCAGTTGTTCAGGCTAAAGGATCCCCCGAAGCACAAGACTGACAGCGTGAGCGCATGCTGCCCCAGAGTCAGGGTGGGTCTGCACACCAGCCTTGAGAAGCACCAAGTTTTTAAATAAATGAATAAATAAATAAAACCCAAGCAAACAAAGACATGCAGCTCAATAACAGGCTCAACCAGATACGCAGCCTCGAAAAGACAGGACTGTTCTTGTTGCGGGCACAGAGAGTCACCTCTGCAGTACATTAGGACCTGAGAGTTTCAGCCCATGTCCTGGGCTGGCCCATCCAAGGGAGTCACTTCCAAGGGTGCTTTCAAAGATCACCCTCCCCCAAAAACATCTTGCTGATTACTCTGGAGATTTAATGAGATAAGGACTCTGCACAGTGTCTAGCTCACAGTGGGTGTAAGTGGACTTCCTTCTCTTCACCTCACAATTAGCAACAGGCTTTAAATGTCAGTGACCCACGACAAGGGGCACATGGGCACAAACTTACCTCTGGTGTGGAGGTCGGAGGCTGAGTCTTTCCTGTATACTAGCTTAGGGGGGAGACGAAGGGGAGACCCAAGAGGAGGGGCAGTCAGATGTGACTGGAGCAGCCTGAGCGGGTCACTTGGCAGCTGGGGAAGTGGCTGACTTCTGTATCAGTCTAGACTCCCTTAGCTGCCAGTGACAGAAACTCAAGGCAAACCAAATAAAATAAAAAAGAGAGAATTTTTTGGCCTATGTTGCTGAGAAGTCTAGGCCTTGATCCATCTCTTACAACACTCTTCTTTGCACTTATCCCCAGGGACCTAGAAGGTGCTATTGCCATGATCCACCCAGGCCCCGCCTGTCTGCGGTGGGTAACAGGTTCGGGGATGATGTATTTGCCCCTTTGGTGACCACTGGGGACTGAATGAGCTGCCTTGTTTCTGAGCAGTCGTAAGCCTGAGAAGTTCCTCGCCTCCTCCCAGCCCCAGTGGCTCAGGAGGCCAAGCCCACAGTAATGGGTCTCTGAGCACAGGTCTGGAGATGTCATTCCCTCCTCTGGGAGGTGACTCCCAGGGTCAGCATAGAAAGGCATGTTCCTCAGATTGTCTTTCCAGATCCTTTTCCATCCTCAGGCACTCTCTTGCACTCCCCTAAGGCAGCAGCTCACATCTGCCAAACAGCTGGCAGAGTCTGGGGACAGCACCTGGCCATGTTCAACCTCCAAAGTCAGGATTTTTGCAGATTCTAGTGAGAAAAGCATCAGGTCAACCCAGAAGGACCTTTCAGGAGACCCCCACCCCAGATGCTTGCTGCCCAACAACATACAGCCAAAAAATAATTACACCCCATTTTTCCAAAAGGACAGAGCAATTTATTCCAGGCTTCAGCATTAGGATCTGAGTCTAGGGATGCCTGACTACACAACTCCACCTGGGTTAAGTTCACTGGCACACTGTCATCCTCAGCCCCAAGGGGTCCTGGCCCTGGGAACTCTGCCCTGAGGATGGGGGAATCAAGGTTGTAAAGAAGGTAATGGAGCCCCCACGCCCAGGTCTCACTTCAACCCAGGCTCCCAGCCCAGAACGTACTTAACCCTTAAGCAAGTTACGCAACCTCTCTTACCCTCAATTTATCATCTGTACACGGGAGGAATAATGTCACCTCCTTTGTAGGCCTTCAGGAGATTAAATGATAAAGTGTTTGGGAGGCTAAGAGCCCAATGACTGATGTAGAGAGAGCACTTAGTAAATCATGCTGTTATTAGTATTAATGAGTTAGGGAAGCCAAAGGAATGGGAATTGCTTAGCAGACTTTGATGCCCTGGCCTCTGCTGAGCCCAGCTGCAGCTGAGATGTGCAGCTCCCTTGCACAGCACTCCCTGAGTCTCCCAATTTTGAGGCTTTAGGGAGCCCTCTCAGCCCACAGGGAGCAGCCTGAAAGTAAGAGGGAGAGTGATAGCCCTAGAGGAGCCAATTTCAACTGGTGGGGATGAGGCTCTGGGGATAAATGCCCAGCCTCCCACCCTCCACAGGGGCAACTCTGAGGTGCATTGTACCCAGACTGAGCCCCAGGTGCCCACACCAGTCACCACATCAATGAGGCACTTTCTATTGGCTCTTCTTCCTTCCCTGTCTCACCCTCCCTACCCCTCACTCCTGCTCCCTAGGGCACCTCCCAAATACACCTTCCTCACCAGAACCCTCATCTCAGGTTCTGCTCTTGGAGGAACCCAAAGTAAGACAACTACAGAGCAAAAAGGGATGGATTTGGGTGCTGAGAGAACTGTGAAGCAAGGTGCCAGCCCTGGCCCAGCTGGTATTGCTCAGTGGTTGAGCACTGAGCCATGCACCAAGAGGTCACCAGTTTGATTCCCGGTCAGGGCACATGCTCTGGTTGCAGGCTCCGTCCCCAGTAGGGGTGTGCAGGGGGCAGCCAATTTATGTTTCTCTCTCATTGATGTATCTCTCTCTCCCTCTCCCTTCCTCTGTCTGAAATCAATAAAAACATATTTAAAAAGAAAGACAAATGGTTCCAGCCCTGGCCAGGTAGCTCAGTTGGTTAGAGCTTTGTCCTGGTACGCCAAGGTTGTGGGTTCAATCCCAGATCAGGAAACATACAAGAATCAACCAGTGAATTGCATAAATAAATGGAACAGCAAAGCAATATTTCTCCCTAGCTCTCTCAGATCAATCAATCAACTTCTTTTTTTAAGTTTTCAGAGAGGTGTAGGGACCACACATCAAAACTCAGAGAACCCTGGGTCTTCCCAAGTAATGAGGCCTAAGAGAGGAAAGGAGACAGGGTCCTCAGGAAGAAAGGAATCCACCTCAGGAAAGCCTGACATGGGAAAGAGAGCAAGAACAGGAAGAGAACCTACTAAAATAGAAGAATTACAAGATTAAGAAGGAAAGAGGAAGGAAGGGAGGAAGGGAGGAAGGGAGGAAGGGAGGAAGGAAGGAAGGAAGGAAGGAAGGAAGGAAGGAAGGAAGGAAGGAAGGAAGGAAGGAAGGAAAGGAGAGAGGGAAAGAGGGAGGGAGGAAAGGAGGGAAAGAGGGAGGGAAGGAGGGAGGGAGGGGAGGAAAATGAAAGAGGAGAAATATATATAAAGTTAAGCATCACCTGTCTTAGTGCATTTGGGCTGCTATAACTGAACACCATAGTCCGGATGGTTTATAAACAACAGAAATTTCTTTCTCACAGTTCCAGAGATCTGGATGTCCAAGATCAAGTTGCCATGCCCACTGGCATGGCTCAGTGGTTGAGTGTCAACCCATGAACCAAAAGGTCACCGGTTCAATTTCCAGTCAGAACACATGCCTGGGTTTAGGGCTTGATGCCCAGTAGGGGGTGTGTAGAAGGCAGCCGATCGATGTGTTGTTTCTCATGAGTGTTTCCATTTCTCTATCCCTCTGCCTTTCTCTCTAAAAAAATCAATAAAAACATATTTTTGAAAAATGAACTCAAGCTATGAATCATAACTTTAAGGGGAAATAAAACTTGAAAAGAAAAAAAAAAAGATGCAGCAGATTCCGTGTCTGGCGAGGACTCACTTTCTGGTTCATAGACCACATCTTTCACTGGGTCCTCATATGGTGGAAAGGGCAAGAGAGCTCTCTGAGGTCTCTTTTATAAGGGCACTCATCCCATTCTTGAAGGCTCTACACCGATGACCTAATCACCTTCCAAAGGCCCCACCCCAAATGCCATCACACTGGGTATTAGGATTTAACATGTGAATTTGGGGGGAACACAAACATTCAATCTATGGCATCACCTTACAATAACTGATTGGAGAAAAGATCAGGCTAAATCAAAGGAGTCTCAATTATTGAATATTTTCCTCATAAAATGTCTTCTTACATTAACGGGACCTGACGTTGCAGTCCTTCCTTCCACTAAGCTCTCACAGCCCCTGTTCGCTCCTGGGCACAAACTCACAGAAAGTCATTTCTGCAGGGTTTCACCTCCCCACCCCTCCTGCCCTGGGCTGTGAGCCTCTGAGGACAGGGTCGCCTCACCCGGGCCTGGCTATAGTGTCTGGCACAGCACAGGCCCTCTGTTCTTATTTGAGCAAAGGAACTGAGACACTTGTATGACAAGCTCATCATTTACATGTAAGAAAATTCTGCAAAAGGCCTGAAAACAATCCTAACCATTAAAGGTTAAAGTTCTTATTAGAATTCTGCTCACTCTTAATTTTCTCAGCAAACTTCTTTCTGAGATCAAAGATATAGGTCCACACCAACTGCAAAAAGACAGCTTTGAGACAATGACAGAAATTTGAATATAAATTCTGTTTTAGATTATGATAAGGAATTATTGTTAATTTTATTAGCTGTGGTGATGGCATAGTGATTAATCATTTTTAAAAGCTTCCTTATTTATTAGAGATTCAGACTGAAGTAGTTTAGGGTAAAATGAAATGATATCTGGAATTTGTCTTAAAATACTTCAGGAAAATACATATATATGTATCTTATTAAATATATATATGAAATTAGAAAACAAGACCAGAAAAAAATGTTGATAATTATTAAAGCTGAGTGATAGGCACACAAAGGTTTCTTATACCAGGTCCTCTACTTCTGGCTAAAATGTCCAGAATCAACATTTTTTGGAAAGGTCCACTGGGTCCGGGTACCACCGCCTCGGCACTCTGCACTCTTGGGAAGGAAGGAGGAGGGGTGGAGGGAGCCTGCGAACACGATGATGTGGAGCCAAATTATATTTAACTTCACATTTGATTTCACTGCCTGGCAGATGTCCCAGGGCCTTGGGAGGACGACAGACTGTCGGTGTGGGTGTGAAACAGTGAACTACAACAGAGATTTAGCAAATCAAACAAGGAGAGAGTGGCAAGAGCCAGCTGCCAGATGCTGGAAAGGCAAGTCCTGACGCTCAGAAGAAA